TTTATTTCCCATAAAACTAGCATTGTTTAACTGTGATCAGGGAAAGTAAATCCTAGACTTGATATATGTTTTCTTGACTAAAACTCTTCCACATTTTAGTTTTGCTCAGTTTAGCTATTTAGCTGTTGTAAAATAAAACCTCCAATTCACTTTATATATTGTTGAGAAGTAAAGTTTACTATTTGCTACCACATAAATATCACAGAAGAGATTTACTATGTATTGCAAAAGGAACAACACAACTTTCATATGCACAGAATAGTTTAGACTATTTTCTATCACCTACACACTGAAATGCTAGGGGATCAAGTCTTAAACCAAGGGTGTCATCTAGAATTTCTTTCTCAGATATCAATTCCTTACCTAGTAATTGACTTTATGAGTCAAACAGTGATAGGAGTCATTATATCAGCCAACCAGAAAGGATAAATTAAAAACAAAAACATCTACATTAAAACTCTTATGAAGTGATTCTTTTGCTTTTTTCAAATAAAAAAATTACTTTTCATGCTAGAAGTAAGATATTTACATTTTGGGACAATCTCAGAGAGCTACAATGCTGAGACTGACTTTATGGTGTCAAGAATCATATGAAATTTTGTATCTTTTTTCATAATTTCAGTTGAGTTGAATTATATTCTGTTAAACATCTTGGATCTTTCATTTATCACTTGAGTGCTTTTTTTAAAAAAAAATACTCACTAAAGGATATCTTTCCAGTAATTTTTAGAGAAAGTGGGGGGGGGGGGGGTGAAAAAGAGGAGGGGGGGGGGGGGGGAGAGAGACAGAGAGACAGACAGATCAATGTGAGAGAGACACAAGGATTGGTTGCCTCTGGTGCACATGCCCCAACTGAGGGACTGGGGCTAGGGATCAAGCCTGAAATTGAGGTACGCGTTCTTGACCAGAATGGAAACCATAACCCTTCAGTCAGTGCTGATGCTTTATCCACTGAGCAAAACCAGCTTGGGCACCACTTGAGTGCTTTTGATGTCAAAAAACTGATCATAGATAAACCTGAACCATTGGAAAAGGTGGTTTTGTTATTCATAACCAATTTGAGACAAGGAAGATAATTTGTTATAAATATTAAACGTGATTAGAAAATTGATGAATAATGATCAATAATGTAATGCACATTTAAAAATATTAATCTTATTTTATAGTAATTAATGACATAGTAAATAATAGGCTACAAAAGCTATTAGCAAAAAAGAAATCTCAAAATGGATAACTGGACTGAAATTAGAAAACCTTATTACAAAACATAAATGAAAATCAATGAGAAGCATAACTCTAAACAATTACATAAGAAATCGTCTACCAGGCATGTAAATGCCACATTCACAAGCATTACTGTAACTGTGGATTGATGATATGGTGGCCATATATTTTATTTCATTTCCAATATTGTTTTGGGAAGAGAAGGATAAGATGGATTGTGAATTCAATACAAATTTTTCCCAAAGTAAAGATTATGAAGGAAACAAGCAAACAACTGAAACAAAACAAGAAAGATTCCTAGCTCCAGGGAGCTCTCAATTCAATACAGATGTCTCTTGGGGATGGGCTCACTCACTGCTTCGCAGGAATAGTTTGACATGTGCTCTGAGCAGACTGGTATACAACTTAAAAAAAAAAAAGAAATTACATATCATTGCTATACCAGTATCGACAGACGGAAGAAAGAAATTTAAATAAGTGGTAGTTTAGTATAAATGTAAAGGATATACTGCGTTAGTAATGACACCGAAAGATAAAGGAGGTCTTTGCTGTTTGACATCCTTTCTCTGACCTCAGTGGTGTGCATAATGAGATGGTTAGCTAGGGTATAATAAAAGATCTGAAAGAGATAAAGAATCAGCTCCATGAATAAAACTCATTTTGCCCAAGTAATTTCTTCACCTGGCCAGTACATGGAAAGGAAATGGGTGGTGTATAAAACAGAGGAACAATTAGGAAACTTATCCAAGGTCATGTAGCTCATGGATGATAGATCTGAAATTTGTATCCAAGTTTCCCTTTAATAAGTTCTCTCAGAAAAAGTGGCTACTGTACATATTTATGATTCTAGAAGCTATTAAATTGTGTGCACTCAGACACACACACATTTACCACACAAAATTGAACAGTGAAAACATTTTAATAAGAAATAAGAAAACATAAGAAACAAGCAATAGATTGAAAATTAATTTATATAAATTTTCATCCTACCATTAAATCTTTCTGAGACTTAGGAATATTAATTAGCATCCCCAAAGTCACTAAATTAATAAGTAGCAAACACAAATTTGAACACAGGCATTTCCAAAGCCAATGACTTATATGTGCCCATCTCTTTCTTCAGAGTACAAAAACCATAAGTAATTTGAATTATGAAATTATGTTCCCTCATTCTAAGCAACCATTACAATATACAAAACTGAAGGCCTATGCCAGGGCAGGCCAAGAGAATTGTTTTGTTATTCTAAATTATGTTGAAATGTGCTTTTCCAATGTTAGAATGTCCTTGGAGAGTACAGAAAATTTGACAAGAAAAAAAAAAACTGAAAGTCAGAGGGGAGAGGTTATTAAAATACAGAAAATAGCCTCATTCTGCTTCTCCCCAATGATATTCCTACACTTGTTTCAGTGAAAGGATTAACTACCTTAGATATGTTTCACCTCCCTTATTTATATAATAAAGTAAAAGCATAACTTTATAGAAAAATTAGAGTTCAAAGTTTATAGCTCAATGCTAAATCACTTAAATTATTTCTTCTGTGGATAGCACCAAAATCTCTATGGAAATGTACTATTTTCATATCTACTCTTTTTCTCCTCATTAATGGAATTCTAAAACTAAGTATCTTTGAAATTTGTTCAATCATTTCTTTAAACTGCAAAAAAAAAGGAATTATAGGGTCACCTAGTTTCATTTATATTTTTTAATACATGATAGCTGGAAAAATCAAATATTATCTAAATCTATTTCCATATGCTTCAGAAGCAAACTTATGAATGTATATTAATATATATTCTCCAAACTTTCTCAGAGACCATTAATTTGCCAATTTATAACAAAGCTGCAAAAAGAAAAAGTATTTAGACTAATAATTTTTCTTATAGGAATTCATCCTCAGGAAAAAAAAATCAAAGAAATTTACAAGAAAGTGTTTATAATGATATTTATCACAGTGTTATAAATAATGACAAAAAGAAGAAATTTAGCAATAGCATAAGCAATTCAAACTAAGCAATTTGCAGATTATGGTACATTAATAAAATATGTTAACTAAAGATTATGTTAATCAAAATAGTAATCCTATATAATAAAAGGGTAATATGCAAATTAACCCTAACAGCAGAACGACCTGGTAACGACAGGTTGCTATTATGCACACTGACCACCAGGGGGCAGATGCTCAATGCAGGAGCTACCCCCTGGTGGTCAGTGTGCTTCCACAGGGGGAGCAACACTCAGCCAGAAGCCTCTCCTGCCTCCATGATAGCACTAAGGATGTCGACCAAAGCCGTTAGTTGGACATTCCCCAAGGTCTCCTGGCCTGCCAGAGAGATGTCTTACTGCCAGCTTAGGCCTGATCCCCTGGGGAGTGGGCCTAAGCTGTTAGTTGAACATCCCCTGAGGAGTCCCGGACTGAAAGAGGGCACAGGCCGCGCTGAGGCACCCCCCCTCCAAGTGCATGGATTTTCATGCACTGGGCCTCTAGCATAATATAAACTATATATTGTGTAGAAATAATAAAATAATTGCAGAGGTTAAGGCATTTTTAAAAGTATAAAAAACAGAACTGGTAAAATATTAAAGTGCAGGGTCATTAAAATAAAGCAATAGTGCACAAAAAGTTGGCAACTATAATTAGGAGAAAATGAAATAAAATTAAGAAATAGACAGGGTAATCATGAGAGACAAGAAGGATATTTTTTAAAATTATAAAATAATAATTTTGAAAATTCAGATACTTAAACTTTCTATGATATAAAAAGCATGGAAACAAGTCAATACATTACCATGTGTTATAAAAATAGCATAAAAAAAGGAAATTATTTAGGACTCCTCAATTAAGAGATTTTTAAAATAGCAAACAAAAAGGACTGAATAATATAGTCCCAAAAGGTATGGATGACATTAAAATTACAAAAATATAAAAGGCTCTTTTACAAATAATGTCATAATCACAATATTCACTTGTTTTAAAAAAAAAAAATGGTTGGAAATCTCTTTAAATTGTCAAAAATGTCTACTTTGAAAATTTAAAAAATTTAAAAGTATTGAAATCAAAATTTATAAATAGATAGAATAATTTTTATATATGTATATATAATGTGTCCATTCAGCACTGTCAGTTAGAAGAAGAAGAATATATATCGAGAGAAGGAGACTATTTGTACAGATTTAAGAACACATGCTACATTTTCATACTTAGACAACTGGGAAATTTGGGATTTTTAGAACCATGAGAGCAAAATTCTTCTAAAGTACAACATTGATCACAAGACCAGTATGCAGATGAGAAAGCCGAGATCCAGGAATCGTGAATATATAGAGAAAATTATTTAAAACAATAATCATCATGTTCATTTGCTGACAGAATAGAATTGAAATTATCAGATAAAATTGAAATTATTGTTCTTTGGCAACACTAAAATGAAGGCAATATGTTTAGTACCAGAAAGAAAAACATATAAGTATTCCAGAACATAAACATCATTCTGAATATTAAGTTTTATAGCCAAAAATAATCCCTAAATTGATATTCTCCCATTTTTTTGTGTCTCAGTTAGAAACTTGTTAAAAGCTTTTTTTTTTTTTTCGCCCAAATGGTTTTCTTGAGAAATCCTATTTTGTGATTGGGTACAATCCCCAAACAGCTACTACTGACATAAAAACAGAGAGATATTCTGCCTAAATCATGGGCTCCATTTCACCGCATAAACAGCCAATAGTTTTCCAGTAGAGAAACCAGCAATGATCACACAGTTAAATAATAGCTACATACCTGCCAGGTTACTGTGATTTTTGGCATCCTTGGCATACACTCTTAATTTGGCCAAATACTATTTCAGTTGCTGCCATGCCATTCCCAGAGGTACTCTTTGGCTTTGTAAACTGATCTGACATCTGCAGTGCTTCCAGGAATGAAGTTTAAAAATATAACAGTGTCTGTGGAGAGGTATATAGAGACATGAGAGTTAAAAATAAATATACTTTTTTTCATTTGGGAGTTAAATATATTCTTTATCCATGACAAATTTTTGAAACATACATATTTACTTTTCATCTAAGCCTTAAAGCAAAATATAAATATACTAGAGGCCTGGTGCACGAAATTCGTGCACAGATAGGGTCCCTAGGCCTGGCTGGCAATCAGGGTTGATCATGGTCTTACTTCTCCAGGCTGCCAGTTGTCGGCCGGGGCTTTCTTCCCCCAGCTGCCTTCCCCCAGCTGCCAGCTGCTGACTGGGGCCATCCTTTATTTTGCAGCACCCCCTGGTGGTCAGCACACGTCATAGCAAGCGGTCGAACTCCCGGTCTCCCGCTCGAACTCCCAAGGAGATAATTTGCATATTAGCCTTTTATTATATAGGATGATGAAAGCTCAAAGCACTATAGCCATGTTGGCAAATTTTATTAGCTGAAAATCAGATTTTTTACAGCAGCTTTTTAAAACTATCCCTCATATTGTAGTTAAGTATAGATTGTATGGACTTATTCCTCTCAGTTTAATCTCACTAATCCTTCCCTTGATTTAACTTTGAATTTCTGGTTTTACATCACTTTCCCTAACTATAACCAGGATAGTCATGTTGATACTATCCCACCTTTTTTAGACTTTCTAAGGAACAAGTTTGATAATTATAAATTTTTATCAGACTATATTACTTTGTGTTCAAAATTTCCCAATAATAGTCTTCTAAATCTGGAACTACTTGAGAGTATCCACTTTTTAAAAAAAAAATTAAAACAATTTGCTATTATTGTTTTGTGGATTTTTACTCTTGTTTACTTACCTGAATATTTTTCCTCTTCTCTCAATGCTGTTATTTCTAATTTCCTATCAAATTCTTAAAAGTAAATGTGTTTTTATTTATTGAGGTTTTATTAAAAAAATGTTGTCCTCTTGTCACCTTATTTTTCAAGGGAATCTGTGTTGATTTAGACCAGCATTTTCAAAGGCTAATATGTTAAATGATGAAAGAAACCATTTCCAGGCCAACTAACTTTGGAATTCATTTCATTAAATTTGATTAAGTAAGGTCCTTTGCTGTAAAACTTTACAGAATAATAGACAAAAACATTTTATAATTCTCTAATAGAATTATACAAACTCATTTACCTAAAGAAACTTCTTGTGTCTAAGAGTCACTTAGACTTGCATGTTACTAAACCAGTTTAGGGAGAATGTGGATTAAATGTCAATCACTTCAATATCATATTGTCATTAAACTATTTCTGTCTTTTGTTTATTTTGCTTGTTTGTTTTATATATATTTTAAATAATTTTCGAGAGGAAGGGAGATGGAGGAAGAGAGAAACATCAATGATATGAGAGAATCATTGATCGGCTGCCTCCTGCATGGCCCCAATGTGGATCAAGCTCACAACCAGGGCATGTGCCCTGACTGGGATTCAAACTGTGACCTCCTGGTTCATAAGTTAATGCTCAACCACTGAGCCATGCTGACTGGGCTCTCTGTTCCTAGTTGGACATTTCATGTGCCAACTAGGGGCCTGATGCACGAAATTCGTGCAAGAGCTCAGCCCTTGCAGCCCCAGTTTCATCCAGAAGGCCATCCAGAAGGATGTCAGGAAGGTCATTTGGCTGTCTGGTCTAATAAGCATATGATGCTTTCATTATTATAGATAACCTCCCAGGACAAATATTGAGTGTGTCCTAATTATTCTTCCACAGGTTGAACACAGAGTGATGAAAGGGCAGAAAAGGTGACTGTTTAAATAGAGTTTATATTTTAAAGGATAAAAAATAACATACAAGTAGATAAATTCAAGTACTAATGAGTGCCATGTACAAAATAATAGTGGATAAAAAGGGAAGAACTGAGAGAAGTTTAGACAGATTCTCAGGAAAAGTGTCTATTAAAGGATGACATTTGGGCTGAGACTGGGATTAAAAGAGGAAACCATGCATATGAAGATTATAGGCCAGAGAGCTCAAAGTAAAGGGAAAAGCAGCAAAGCTGCAAAGGTGGAAATAAGTTTGGTGTTTTCTAATAATTTACAGTGTCCTGGCATGGTCAGAGCAAAAGCAAGGAGAAGGTAAGAGAGAGATAAGCAATAAGACTGGAGAGGGAGGCAGTGACCATGCCATGTAGAGGCTGTGTGGAGCTTGGATTTTAGTCTACGTGCAATGAGAAACCATTGGAGGGTTTAGAGCAGAAGGATGCCATGAATTTTAAAACACCACTATGGCTGCTGTGTGCAGAATGGCTAATTAGGGAGCAAAAGTAGAAACAGGCAAACCATTAAATAGACTATTGCATTAGCCCAAATGAGTGAAGATTTCTTGAACTAGGGGAGTAGCGATGCAAATAAGGTATATTTTGGAAAAAAATAACAGGATTTGCTGCTAGGTAAGGTATGGGAGCTGAGAAAAAGAAAATTAATGATAATTTCTACCTTAGTTTAATCAATAGAGTGGATATGGTGTTATTTATTGATATGATGACGATTGGAGAAGGAAAATGAGGACAATAGGAAGACAAGAGCATACTTATGTTTTGAGATCTTGGTAAAGAAATCAAGTAGACTTTTAGATATATAAACTTGAAGCTGAGAAGAGAGATAAAGGCTGTAAAGTGTTTAGTATAGATTGGAAGTTATGGGATTGAATAGGTTACCTAGAGGGATAAAGTTAATAGGAAAGAATGAATGACCTAGGCCCGTGGTCGGCAAACTGCAGCTCACGAGCCACATGCGGCTCTTTGGCCCCTTGAGTGTGGCTCTTCCTAAGCCTTAGGAGTACCCTAATTAAGTTAATAACAATGTACCTACCTATATAGTTTAAGTTTAAAAAATTTGGCTCTCAAAAGAAATTTCAATCGTTGTACTGTTGACATTTGGCTCTGTTGACTAATGAGTTTACCAACCACTGGACTAGGCCATATAATGTTTGCATGAAGATTTACTTGAAGTTCATGATCATCAATTTACATTGGGACAAGTTAATGTGGTCAGGCCCAGGGATGTAGGCATTGACTAGGCAGAAAAGTAATTTTTCCAAGTGAGTATAATAGAGTAACTAAGGACAGGGAGGGCAAATGCAAGGAAGTAATACTATTTGACTAGGGAATTTAAGTAGACTAAGGAAGAAGATGAAGCTATAAAAAGGAATGGATGAAGGGGATGGGAAAATAAAGTGATAAAAAGGTAGGACTGGCAAAAATATAAAGACATTAAAAAGATCAGTGGTTCTAAGGATTTGGAGTCAGAAAAGAAGGGGTGAACAGGAGTAGCACAAGGGATTTTTAGGACAGTGAAACTATTCTGTACTAGAGGCCTAGTGCACAAAAATCATGCACTGGGTGGCGGGTGTGGTGGGGGAGGTTTCCTCAGCCCAGCCTACATCCTCTCACAGTCCAGGACCCCTCAGGGGATGTCCAACTGCTGGCTCGCAGTCTGGGGCTCTTGTAGTCTGGGACCCTTCGCTCCTTACCGCCCACCTGCAGTGGAGGTTGGAGAGGCACCCGTCACAGCCACTACACTTGCCAGCCATGAGCCTGGCTTCTGGCTGAGTGGCGCTCCCCCCGCCCCCCCCCCGTGGGAGTGCACTGAGCACCAGGGGGCAGCTCCTGTGTTGAGCGTCTGCCCCCTGATGATCGGTGCGTGTCATAGTGACCAGGCGTTGCGCCATTCAGTCAATTTGTATATTAGGGTTTTATTATATAGGATGATATTGTGATGGGTTTTATTTAATAATAATGCATCAGTATTGTTTCACCAATTATAAAAAATAAACCACAAGAATCCATGATGTTAATAACAGGGAAAACTGGTAGAGTATGGGATGGGCTATGTGTGAGAGGGTATATAGAAACTCTCTGTAATTGTGCTTATTTTTTTTTCTGTAAACCTAAAACTTCTAAGTAATGCAATTAAAAAAAA